TCCGGCAGCCTCCGCAAGAGACGGCCGGGAAGGGAGGGGCGGGACCGCCCGAGGCGGCAGTAACGGCACTCGGGCACAGAGAGAGAGAGAGTGGGAGTGGAGGGCCCGCCCCGTCACGCCGGGGACGCCTGGCCTGGCCTGGCTCAGGCAGCTAAGCGGCTCTCCTGCTGGGCTGCCCACTTCGGAACTTTGCTTGGGCCGTGACTGGGCAGGAGGGAGCGGCAAGGCCAAGGCGGCAGCCGTTTAGGGGGCCGCTCGTCATGCCGCCCCCGGCGGAGAGTCGCCAAAGGAGAGAGCGGGGGCGAGCAGGGAAGAAGGCTCTCCGCTCCCTTAGCGCTTAAGAGACCACTAATTAGGGCGGGGGCCCCTCGTCACCCTCCCAACGTTCGCATTTATTTTTATGTGTTAATCTAGCATTGGAAATGGCTAGCTGGCCCAGTGAATTAGGCCAGAGTTTGGAAATTCAATTACCACTGTCAGTCCCAGAAGAACCCGCCTGGGTGGCCTTGGGCAAGCTGCACAGTCCCATGGTGCCCCCAGTGTCTTCTCTACCTAGACAACTCAGAAAAGGATCCCCATCAGTCAGAATTGACTTGTTGGCCCATAGCTATTATTATGTAATGAAGCACTTAGAGGGATTCTGTGTCAATTACTTAAACTGAATATGCCTGGATTTTTGTTATTGCAATACTAATGAGGTATTGCTCCACAGAAAGGTTGTTGCCCCGGACAGTAATAAAAGCCAAGCATCAATGATATTGACAGATACTTATATTCAACATTTTAACAGACTGAGGCTGTAATTACACTGGCAAGCGAATCAGAGAGATCTGGCTTTGCTGAGATTTGATTCACAGCTGATATTAACAGCTGAATTCACAATCAGTGATCATACAGGTTGTGGGCTGATTCGGGAGTTCCTTGATCATATTCGATGCAATGTGACTCGCATTTCAGCCCACAGCCTTCCCTTCTTTCCCTCTGTTGATCCTTTTATGGTTCTCTGTCAAGCCACTTCATTTTGTAAGGATTGTACAGTGTTCCAGAAAAGGTGACAGTGTTCCAGAGTTTTTAACATGAGCAGAAATACCACATACCACAATAATGTCTTGCATTTCATGGGTAGTTTGTTTTGTTCATAATTAAATAATTTTTTTCTCATCCAGATATGATCTAGCACTTCATTAGTACATCAAAACTACTAATAAGGCAATCTAGTGTTTATCTCATATATGTAAAAAAAATTAAAAAGTCAGAGGATACTGGGGGAAAGAACATGGTAACAGGTGTTCCTATGGTACTGAATATGCCACTCCAACTGCCTAAGTCACCAAAACAGCACCCACAGACATGCCCCCATCATTACAAGAATGAATCAATTGAAAACATGGGGGAAAGTCCCTTCAAATTGTTCCAGCTTTGAAAAAAGTAGAAGCACTCAGCATCAGAGAAAAAAAGGCCACATTGGGAAGCAAAAAGGACCAAACCAATTTGAATCAGCCTTTGTGTCTTGTGATCAGAAAAAAATACTTCAAATCAGTTCATGCTATAACTGCAGCAAATCCTGTAATATTTGACTGTGTAATTATAGCCTAAGTTAATCCACATGTGCTACATTCATAATTTTGCAATCACTCTCACTCCTGGCCTACAAATCTATGCTGGAGAGGAAATTCAGGTGCTGGGTGGTCTGCACCTTTGTACAAGGGAGATTTTCAACAAAAGTGGAATCCTTTTTCTTTTGGGGTGGAACCAGAAGTAAAAATGGATGGATAATATTTTTGTGTGGATGGCCTCTGTCCCACATAAAGGTCTTTGAAAGAAAGATAACTATATTTCATTTTACAGCTGCTATCATAAATATTTCCCTTTATCATTCCTTTGTTCTGCCAAAAAGAGGGGGAGGAGAAAAGCATAAGAAATGGCAACACATAAAAGCCAGTGTCAGTACATTTCAACTTCACAAAACAGTCACTGATGTCCAAAGTGACTACTGTATTATATAAGAAAAAGCATTACAAAAGGAGATCTGAGAGGAAAGTAGCTGAAGTAAAATTCCAAAGCTCCAGGGTGTGTCTAGAAGTTTAAATAAAGATCCTGGCTTTTAGCCAGAAAGTTACTTTCTTTTACATCACTCAAACCTTAGTGCAACTTCCTGAAAATGAAGATATTTTCATTTCTCCTTTAAAGGCAGCAGCCTACTATTGGTATAAACTGACATAGTTACATGAACCATGGTTGCATATTGGTTACATAAATCAAAATGTTTATGTAATCAGTATTTTGAATGCTCATTACCAGCATTAATAATGTCACTGTCACTTTGAAATTTTAGTATCTGTATTGGTAATGTTATTGTCAACCTGTTTCCCATTTTGTTGGCCCCCAACTTATTCCATGAACATTATATATGAACCTGTGGCCTCAGTTATCCTGCTGTTTGTATGCATGGTAAGGAGGACGTCCACAACAATCTTTTGAGCAAGTACACTTGATCCATGACAGTGGTTCTGGTAGCCTTAAAGGAGCCACAACACTTATTTTCATTTGTTTTTCATGTTGTAACAGACTAACACAGGTACCTTTCTGAAAAGATTTATTTCAGTGTGAATTTTCATGGTGGCACAAGACTTTTTGTTGGTGTTCACATGCTGAAATAGCTCTGAAAAACTCAGGAAAAGACTGCATGGTTGTGGAAACAATACAACAGGTGACACTTTTAACCAACTACTAAGAATATAAAACAAATACAGCTCTGTCACTAGAAATATTTTCAAAGAGGTAGCCCTGTTAAATTTTATAACACAATAGAGCATAATATACACAATGTACATAATAGTGGTGGTGCTGCAGGACATGGTGGCGCTGCAGGACATGGTGGCACTGCAGGACGTGGTGGCGCTGCAGGTTAAACTGTAGAAGCCTCTGTACTGCAATGTCAGAAGGCCAGCAGTTGTAAGATTGAATCCACGTGACAGAGTGAGCCCTCCCCCGTTGCTTGTCTGAGCTCCTGCCAACCTAGCAGTTTGAAGCATGCAAATGCAAGTAGATAAATTAGTACCACTTGGTGGGAAGGTAACGGCGTTCCGTGTCTAGTTGCCCGGGCCATGTGACCACAGAAACTGTCTTTAGCTTGGAAACAGGGATGAGCACTGTGCCCTAGGGTCAGACATGACTGGACTAAATGTCAAGGGGAACCTTTACCTTACATAATAGTGGGGTTGGAGGCATGAAAGAGATGGGGGGAAATAAAATAAATAAAATAAAAGCAACTTATATTTAAGTTATCATTAGTTTGATCTTCATTTCTGAGTACTGTTTGTACACATGCTCTCATCGTTCTTGCTAAGTCCAGTTAATACATAGACATAGAATTGGGGAAGCTCTCCATCAGAAAGCCATTAACAATCAATCACTTAACAGAGAAATATTTTCAAAGAGGTAGCCCTGTTAAATTTTATAACACAATAGAGCATAATATACACAATGTACATAATAGTGGTGGTGCTGCAGGACATGGTGGCGCTGCAGGACATGGTGGCACTGCAGGACGTGGTGGCGCTGCAGGTTAAACTGTAGAAGCCTCTGTACTGCAATGTCAGAAGGCCAGCAGTTGTAAGATTGAATCCACGTGACAGAGTGAGCCCTCCCCCGTTGCTTGTCTGAGCTCCTGCCACAGTGCAGTCTATTCAGAAAAAAACCCCACTGTAATAGGAAACTCCCATTTAAGTTGAAATAGTCTCAGTTAGATACATATATTTATATACATATAAATACATATAAGAATCGCTGGGTACTTTCAAATACCAACTGAAAACATGGATGTAAAGGGGAACCTTTTCCTTACATAATAGTGGGGTTGGGGGCATGAAAGAGATGAGGGGAAAATAATAGATTAGTAATGAATGTTCATAGTGACAATAGTTTCTCAATACTGGTAATGAAGACTGATTTGTAAGATACCCTGTTGAAAGATGGAATAAATAATAGATTGGTAATGAATGTTCATAGTGACAATGGGTTCTCAATATTGGTAATGAAGATTGATTTGTAAGATACCCTGTTGAAAGATGGAGTAGTCAGCTCATCTGTCCCTTAATATGAATGATAATCTCCTGTGAAACGTAGATACGTGTTTTCAGGAAGTTCTGGTTAGGCTGGAGCAGTGGTTCCCAACTTTGGTCCCCAGATGTTCTTGAACCACACCTTCCAGAAATCCTGGCCAACACAGCTAACTGTGAAGGCTTCTGGGAGTTTTAGTCCAAGAACAAATGGAAACCCATGGTTGGGAACCGCTGGGCTAGAGTTAGGTCAAGAAAAAACTGCTTCTTCTTTATAATTACACTCAGGGCTGGCTAAAACCAGTATAATTAACATACTAAAAATCCCTTGTCTTTCTTGACTGTTCTTGACATATCCTGGCCAACACAGCTAACTGTGAAGGCTTCTGGGAGTTTTAGTCCAAGAACAAATGGAAACCCATGGTTGGGAACCGCTGGGCTAGAGTTAGGTCAAGAAAAAACTGCTTCTTCTTTATAATTACACTCAGGGCTGGCTAAAACCAGTATAATTAACATACTAAAAATCCCTTGTCTTTCTTGACTGTTCTTGACATATATTAAAGTCCAGTATATTAACATCCTATAAACCCCTTGTCTTTCTTGACTGTTCTTGACATATATTAAAGTCCGAGAAGTTAGCCCACTTCAGTTGTCTCATTGTTGAAAATATTATTTTCCATGTAAGTCCTAAGGATTACTGTATGATACGTTTACATATTGATAGGGGAGCCCATGCCTTTCCTTCCATTAATGAAGGCCGTCCAGCAGGGGGGAAGGCAGCTCTTGACTCGGGGGCGGGGGGACAGTGGTGCCCCGTGCCCTTGCCTTGCCGCGGCTCTTCTCTCCGATGGGCGGCTTCAGCAGCGCAGCCCTCCCCGGCGGAGCGTGCTTGGCACTCGGGCTGGGCGCCTCCCTCCCTCCCTCCTTCCTACAGGCGGAGCGAAAGGAGAGACGGCCGGCCGAGGGCGAGCCGGCCAGGCGTCAGGGCCGCCGATGGGGGACTGCGGAGTGCCTGCTGGCGTCCAGCTGCTGCTCCGCGCTTGCGACCAAGGCGACTGCGAGTGCGCCCGGAGGCTCTTGCTGGGACCTCCGCCGGCCACCGGGGCCGCTGAAGAGGCGTCGGCGGCGTCGGGGGAGCCGGGCAGCAGCGGGACTGGCCCTGCCGGCGACATCCCTCCCGGCTCCGTCCCCGTGGACTGCACGGACGAGGCCGGCAACACGGGGCTGCAGTTCGCGGCGGCCGGAGGCCACGAGGAGTTGGTGGGCTTCCTCCTGCGGCGGGGGGCGTCGGTGCAGAGCCGGAACCACTGCGGTTGGA